AATATTCTCGTAATAAGCGTACTAAAATTGTATCATATTGAATAAAGATTCATAGAGCCAATATTGTCTATTTTCATCAAAATTAATCTTGATGTGAATTAATCTTTAAAAAATTGACTAAATCAACAATAGATTAAACTATAAAATAAATTAAAAACATTATTTTAGATGAAAAACAATAAGAGGTCTTGAAATTAAGGTCGAGAAATTTCAATATCCCCACCACCAATTATAGAGAACTTTTTCCTTGTTGACCCAAATCTGCTTCAAGAAGCCCCTCGGTAAAGTTTGCATTCAGAATTATTGCTATAATAATATTTACTCTATTTGAAAATGCCAAACAAAAAGTGAATGGATTAATTAATAAAATATTTGTTTATGTTCTCGATATTAAATACTTCAAAAAATATAAAACAAATGTTAGAACTTCTTTTAAAAGACCGAATCGGTAATAAAATATAGATGATATTTTGTCGATTATATTATTTATGTTGTAACATCAATTAGTTGGAATACTAATATATAAAAATAAAGTATGAATAAAACCAGTATATGCGTTACAAAAATTTCCATGTGAAATTCTGCATTATTTTCCAAGCAACAATTCAGTTAGATCTCATAAAGAAGTAAAATTGTTGTTCTGAATTGTTCATTAGTATTAATTTAAGATATTGATATTAAGTTGAGGAACTATGTAATAAATGAATTCAGCAGAGTAAATTAAACAGAAAGTTTGAATTGTTCTATTTGATTTCCATCGGAACTCATCCCAAGACCTATGCAAATATTATTGATAGCTTTATATGATTTCATTTCCTAGCTTAAGAAAAGTATACCTCTGATATACAGCAAGAAATATCAATATCACTTTTAACAATTAAAAGCAAATAAATTCAAATAGATTACCCATATAAACAGAATGTACAGTAAGTAAAGATAGAGATTTAAAGAAGTGATACTAGACCTTAAGAGCTACAAAACAGTTCATATAAACTATGGTCCGATTTTCCACAAAACCGTAGGAAATTTAAGTTCTTTTTTGAATAGCACGCCATATATAAAAAAAAATTAATATACGTAATTGCCAATCATTACATAGTAAACTAGACAAAATTCAGTTCAAACGTGAGTAGAGTTTGTCATTGTTAAAACCATTTCAAATGGAATAATTAGCGGTTATACTACGCTGTTCTGTTTTTCATAAAATTTTGCATTATTCTTGATTTTTTTAATCCACCTACATTTGGACCAAAGCTAACCCACTATTAGAAAAACTTACTGAGCGGGTATAAAAAAGGCGAAACTTTAATTAAATTGGTAACAGCAAACCTGATGCTTATATAAACAATGATCCGATTTTCCGAAATAAAGTAAGAAATTTAAGTTTTTTGTTTTTTATTTATAGCCTGTGGTACAGACCCATTTTTATCGTATTATTAACACCCTTATATAATAGTTTCAACTTATCATAGCCTACAAGTATTTTATTTATGAAAACTCTTGGAATTGGGGCGTTTTCAATCAGTAGGTTGGTCTATTTAATTAGGTACTAAAAACTCGTTAATAGACATTTGTTTCCACTTGGATCGTAAGATAAATTGATTACAAAGTCGAGAAAAAAGGTGGTCTTAAAAAATATTGAGCCGTTTGGAGTGACCTACACCCCCAAAATTTCAAAATAACGAGGTTATATAGGACAAACGACCCAATATTTTACTATTCCAGTACCATCTTTCTATTCAAGTTGAAAGCAAATGGGTATTTACGAGTTTTTAGTACCTTATTAAATAGACAAAGTTTGCTGACCTCCAGATTGAAAACACCCCAATTCCGGAATTTTCGTCAGTAAAATGTTCATGAGATGAAGCTATTCACGAAGTTTCAGGCGGATGTTAATAATTCGATAAAAAGGGGCCTGTACCACGGACTATTACGTTTTAAGTTACTTCACAGTAAACTATACAAAATTTAATTGCACATAATTAGAGTTTGTCATCTTTATAACCAATTAAAAAAGATTTTTTGACTGGCTAAACTTAGCTGATTTCTGTTTTTAAATGATCATGAATTATTTCCGATTCAGCCTGCAACTATACTACCAATAGCACACTTTTAGAAAAACTTTTTTGTTAAATAAGCTTCAAGTCTATATAATTGTGTTGAGGTTTATTACCGAATAATTTGAGATTCGCCTCTAGTTCCGGAAAAATATAATGTGATTAATTTTAATATTTTGTCACCCAATAGCACCTGTGTTTGCGACAAAAATGACTACACAAGTCTTTTTTTTTTTTTAATGAGGTGGTATGTATTATAATAAACATATTATAAAAAAAATGTTCAAAGTACCTCTTTATTAAATATTTTATACGTAATGTGATAATGAAGCAGTGTTTTTACCTAGATCTGCATTATGAAAATTCATCCTGATTATTTTAAATGATCAACTAAATGTTGCCATACCTAAAACTTATATGAAGGTTTATTTATTTTTTATTTATGCCAGAAAATTTTTCCATGAAAACATAAATATTAGGATTAGGAATACTTAGTTGATCACTCAAAATAAAATGGATCAAGATAAAAAAGAAACACTGCTGCCAATGAAAACACACCTTCGATTAGTTTTCTACTTTTAAATTCTTCTCTAGATTCATCTAGTCTAACTAGTTTTATTAACAGCCCCCCCCTCACAAGAACTTTCCGCTAATCTGCCATTTCCTGAACCTAAATATACCTTCCTATTTTTTTCTTCTTTCACCTCTACCTCTGGCTTGTTTTTTAATTCCAAACCCTAACAGATTTTCTTCCTGTTTAATCTTTCCACTTTAATCTTGGTCATTATTTTCTTCCATCTTCCTTTCACTTCCCATTCTATACTTAAATTAGGTAGCCTTTCAGACCCTCATTTAACATGCTGGAATCAAGTTAACCATTTTTCTCCTACACCTCTTCTCGATTATACTTCCATTTTTAATCATTTCAGTTATGGATTTTTTTTATTTTTCCTTCTACAATAGACCTTCAGCAGCTAAATGTGTTTTGCCGTATCAGGCTCTATTATTTTAGTCTTATCTTGTCCGAGGACAATGAATATGTATGGGTAGATCCCTACCAGAAGTTAAAATACCAATTCTACCGTTTAGTGAGAAGAGGAGTGTTTTAGATTCCCAGAGAATGAGTTCAGCAATTCAAACAGGGCTTTTTACCACTGTTCTGTATCAAAAATGGAACAGTCCTCAATATTGTCGATTCTGAAATGCTAATGCATTTATGAAATATTGTCTATTTGTAAATTATTTATTTGTAAAATTGGCCAATAAAATTTAAAAAAAAAAATGGAACAAGATCAAAGTACCTCATAAGAGCTTTTTTTATTATTTTCCTATGAGTAACCCACTCCTCAAGTTTAGCCCAATCCTCCTTTTCATCCTGTATATATATATAACAATAATTTAGTTACTGTTTTTATAACTTGTATGCAATTAAAAAAGGATTTTGGTACTTGTGAAGAATCCGGTCATAGAGAAACCTCCCTTCATATCTGGTGTAAGCTGTTGTTATCCTTCTCTTACGTATGAGTTATTCCATTGTTTATTTTTGTTCCATCCTTTATTGTTCAAATGGATATATTATTATACTGTTGGAAATGCCGTCTTCAGAAGAAGAATATTTTCAAAAGGCCAGGATAATTCCAAAGGTGAAATTCTGTGAAAAAAAAATGAAGAATGACAGGAAGACGAAATGGAGATGCTTTCGTAGCAGTTGTAACAAAAACGTAATAATAATAATAACCTTTATTTGTGCATACAATGAAAAAAACCATGGATAAAAATATACAAAATATCTTATATGTAAAAAATCAACTTAGTTGCGGTTTTGAGTTCGATTTCTTTTTTTTTTTTTTTTTTTTTTTTTTAACTTAACTGTCTTGGAACCACACTAGGTAATGAACCTGTCCCATCCTTTTCCATTCTTTCCTCTCCAATGCTACTCTCTTCCAGGCTGCTCCCCCGCAGGTCTTCTTCATCTCCTTGTCCCAGTCTGCCGGCGGGAGCCCTCTCTTCCTCACGTGTTCGCTTGGATACCAATCCATAAACTGTCTGGTCCATGTTAATTCATTCCTCGTGATTACATGTCCGGTCCAGGTCCACTTCCTGTTGAGCATTTTTTCCACAATATCTGGAAGGTCAGTCTTAGCTCTGATCCATTTGTTTGTTTTTCTATCCCTTCGAGTTATCCCCAGAAGATATCGCTCCATTCCTCTGACGGTTATCCTCAATTTGTGGCAAGTCTTCTGGTCAATTGCCCATGTTTCACAACCATATGTCATGACAGGAAGTACTGTGCTCACCCAAAGTTTTCTCTTGACCTCTGAGCTCACCGAGGATCTATATATGTCCTTAAATTTGAAGAGTGCGCGCCATCACTGTGTACATCGCCTGATTATTTCTTCAGTTTGTCCTTTAATTGAGATAAGGTGCCCAAGATATAGAAATGTTTCTACTTTCTCTATATGGTGTTCGCCTATTTTTATATCTCCCTCAAGGTTCACTGATATATAGTTGCATTTTTTATAATTTATTTTCAGTCCTATGTTTTCTCTAGTCTTTATTAATTGATTTGCCATCGTTAGGATTTCTTCTTTATTTTTACCTATTAGGACTTGATCATCCGCAAACTCTAAATGGTTCAAAAACAAAAAACGTATCTATAAGAAAAGGAACGTGGTTAGAGGGGTCGAAGATTACCTTTTCAACGAATTATTAGATTTGCTTTTGTCTATTTCAATTTCACATCAAAGCGTTTTGTTATTATTGCATTTGTTTTTGACTATGTTCAATTTCCATAAATATGAATACGAAGATAGGGATTATCGGTGCCTTATCAGAATTATCAGTGTTCATATTATAAAGATTGGCATATAGCAATCCATGGGGACCAGACTGATCACAAGTACCATGGATTTTAGCAAGAAATAAACACATGTTCATTTGCAGGCACACTGGGGAAGGTGCACTTGAGCTGCTTGGAAAGATGGCTCAACATGTGCGGGCGCCAATATTGCGAGATATGCAGGTTCCAATTCCAGGCTGTCAGGAAGAGGCGGTACGGAATTTGTCAGTCGATAAGGTAAGCAAATTTTAGTAATTATTATTAAAAGAGTTTAATTATACACTCTGTATTTATTAAACATTAAGTGTTATTCTCAAAAAGATTGGATAATCTTTTTTCATACTATAATACGTAAGCACATTCGGGTGCCAGGTGATGGTGTGTGGGCGCCCGTGTATTCATAAGAAGGCTCGGCACGCAATATTGATATATCACCCGGCGTCGAGAGGCCTAAAATAGAATTTTATTTTTATTCCTCTGTTGAGATCTATACAGAATTTATTACTTTATTTATTTTTTACTCTGCTATAAAATATTTTTATCTGATATTTTTAATGTAATTTATATGAGTAAGATACTCACCCTGTAGACAGGTTGTTATGCACCAGCACTGGGTGGGCTCTCAACTAAAAAAATCCAAACAATATTAATTAGTAAAAATGAAAAATTATACAAACAAATATTTTAGAATAGAATATGTACATGGAAAATTCAAAAGGATAAAGCTTCGAGTCTTTAACAAACAGGTGAACAGTAAACCTAAGATAAGCCGATTCAGGCAACATCATCATCGATCTTTTTTTGGGGGGTCCTCCCCTTCCTCGCCTTTAAGGCTATACGGGGTTTTCCCAGGCCAGGGGGTGTGGGCGAGGATTTAAAATACTCCCCCGGCACCGGAACGCGAACTCGTGAGTATTTTAAATCCATTGTCTCATAGATCAGGTTGCTGAGCAACGGCGGTGCTGTGCACACACGGTAGCCCGTTCGGCCACCCCGCCCACGATCATCATCATCATCTACATCATAATCAAACCGCGTCTATCGCCTAAACAGTGTGAGGAGACTTTCTGTAGAGCTTGACCCAATTGTCCCTGTCCTGTACCAGCTCATTCCTCTTGGACCAATCTAAACCTCTTTTGTCCGTCCATGTGGCTTTTCTTCGAGACTACAGGACCGATTTTATTCAAATTTGAGATCAAAGTCAGAGGTCAACCGAGGATGATCCTCGTACCTCGATATTGCCTTCCGCCCTTTCCTTTCAAGATGCCTGCCGAAATCCCTTTGTTGGTATAGACTGCCTAAACGAATGCACCAATTTCAATAAAACTTGACTAAAGTCTTTTCCTGGATGCCCTTTAAATTTATCTATATAACGTATTTAGTTCAACGAAAAGACGCTGGAAAAAAAGTTACGAGGGTTGGTAAAATTATATTTATGAATAACTCAAGAAGTATACACTTTTTTGTTGATATATGTTGTTTTTTTTTAAGTTCACGAAATATCTTAAAACATAAAAATAAAATCGTTGAAATTGGACAATTGGTACAAATAGAATAGAATAGAATAGAAAAAATAATTTTATTCTGGGAGGAAGTCCCTTCAGAATAACAAAAAAGTACAGAAATTAAAATTTTATATCTGGCCAGATAAAAACAAACATAAAAAGTTAAGATAAAGATAGATCATTAAAAAAAAAAAAAAAAAATATTGGTTATACATACTATATACAAAATAAAATAAAAAAATCTATATAAAAAACTCTTGAAACCATACTAAGATACTTAAAACTATGTACAATGTTAAAATATAAATAAACCCTTTTAGAAAAAATAAAAAATACAGAAAAAATAAATGTAAATTCTTCTTAACAGTAAAATCTGTTTCTGTTGAAAAAAAAAAAAAAAAAAAAGAAAGTCGAATCTATAATAAGTATTTAGGTTGTGAGCTATATGTGAATATGTTCTTATAGATAATATGTAATTTTACATAAAAGGTTAGCTGGTGTCTGCCTTTTTTTGGACAGGAATTGGAATAGGAGGGTTTTGAATGTAGATAAGGATGAAGAATGGCGAAGTTTGATAGGAAGGGAATTCCAGAAACTAACAGAACGAGCAATAAAGGAGTTTTGGAACGAAGCATATCTGTGAGAAGGAATGTAAAGGTCGGAAGGTCGAGATCTTGTGGAGAGGGAGTGGACTGAGGACTTGAATTGGAGAAGGTTGTAGGCGTAGGAAGGACGATGATTGTTGATGATATGATAGAAGAATGTACCTAGGAAATATTGTGTTCGAATGGAGGGGAAGAGCCACTCTAACTCAGTGTGTTATATTTTCTATATGTTCTACTGCAAAGTTATCATTTTTTGTTTTTGAAAGTTTTACATCAAGTGAGGCAATATTGTATATTTTTTTTAGCAAATTATCGATGATAAAAAATAAAATTATTCAGGCCAATGTTAGAAAAACTTTTTTATTTATTTTTCTTAATGTTACATGGAAAGTAATGTTAATGTTGATATTTAATAGTTTGGAAATAATAATAATAAAACCATTGTGTAATGATTTGCAGTGGTTTTCATTTATATGCTAAGTATTTTATGTATCTTTTAAATTAATATGTTAATGATATTTATAAGTGAAAAGAAATCTCATTCTACTTATCCTATTCAGGGTCTGGATTCGACACCCTCGACACGGGATGCTGCTCAGATCTGACCTGATCGTCGCAACAATCCTTACGATGGTGACCCTTGGCTTGGCCACTGTCTGCCTCCTGGGCATGAGGTACTTCGTCACCGAAGGACTCAAGTTGGGAGTACCGGCGCTGTACTCTCAGGTAAGCTATATTGGACCTATCTTGAGTACATTACAGTAGACTCCCAACAGTGGAGAAGATTGTGAGGTACAACCCAGGACTGTCTGGACTAGGGCAGAGGATGCTCCAAGTCAATATTATTTTATTGCAGCCGGACAAATTGCGTTGCCGTTTAGAAAAGACGGAGGTTGGAGACGTCGGGGAGCCGGAGGATCAATGCAGAGCGCGCCTCCTGCAAATGTGGGGAGTGCCCGTCTTCTTTTGGCCTGTAGGTTTAGTTATCTTATTGTCAGTCTTCTTCTTCTTTTCTTTTCATTTTCTTTAACATATTTTAATTATTATTTTTTTAAATCATCTTTTTTCAAGAACCTTGGAGCTTTTCTGAAAATAGTTGGAAGTCGAATCTCTTACCATGAGAATGAGGCCTCCAGATATACCTTCCCGAATCATAATATATCATACTATTCTGAAAGGGTAGTGATCTATAAAAATTTAAAGAATTTTTCTTGGACACCGTACTCACTATCACAAATATCCACTGCATATTCATGTAGCTAAACAGGTTTTGAAAAACTTAGTGTTTGACTAAATATAATAAGAGTAGTATCCCACTAAATATAAGGAAATGCTATGTGAAAAGCAAGGATTCAAACATTAAAATCCTATTGGAATCATTTTTTGTTGGTCTCGTTTATTATTTATTTATTTATCTTTTACTTTTGTAATATATGACACCAGATGGCCTTGACATGGAGTGTTCAAAGTAGGCATAAAATGAAAGAATGGACTATAATATCTCGTAGGAAATTGGAGATATCAACGAAGGAATAGATCGTCACTCTTGATAAGTAATATAGCATTCAGACCTTGAAGGGGAACATTAAAAGGAAACAGAGGCTAGGGATCAACCTGGACATATTGGAAGGAATAAAAAACAATTATAAAAATGGACCAGGAGTAACTAAACAATGTATCAGTAGATATAGTGATATCAGTTAAGGAGAGATGAACATTCTCTGACTGAAGTTTTTACACGGTCTCTGTCTACTTAAGAAGAAGAGATGATCTATCAAATACGATATGACTCTATGGTCATGTAAGGGTACCAAAAGTAGTGTCAATAACTGTTCATTTTAATATACTATTTTATACCAAGACTTTATTATCCAAGATTAGAGTGTTTGTATTATATATATATATTATATACAGGGTGTTTCAGGGTTGAGTGGCCAAACTGAAAATGTGAACTAACGACTTTCCTCTGTTATTCCTCTGAAGGTATGTGCGCAAACGCTTTGTTTAGGAGATATTCACCCCTACAGATTTTTATTGTTATGAATTATTTACGTGAAATTAAGTAAATGAAACTTATTTAGTTGTTCCAACTACTTTATTAATTAAACGTAAACATTAAATTCATATTTAATGTTGTTCAAAGTTATTTTCTTAAGCATTAAGGATCGGCATCTTTCTCCAACAGCAGCTGCGACAGAACGGCAAATTATTGTTTCTCAAGATTCAATTATCCTTCTTCGTAAAGAATTAAGGTCATTGACCGGAGTTGCATAGACTTTTTGTTTAATGTCACCCCAAACAAAAAAAATCCAGTGGTGTCAAGTCTGGAGAGCGTGCAGGCCAAGCCACTGGTCCTGCACGGCCAATCCGTCTCCTAAACAAAGCCTTTGCGGACACACCTTCACTTTGAACAACATTTAACATGAATATTAATTTTTAAGTTTAATTAATAAAGTAGTTAGAACAAATAAATAGATTTTATTTATTTCATATAACGTAAATAATTCATAACAACGAAAATATTTAGATTTGAATATCTCCTAAACAAAGCGTTTCTGCGGACATATAGAAATCCATCCCAATTCTATAGTTACAATTTCATAAATTCACTTTTTCTCAAGTAAGCTCAATAAGAATATTATTTATATTATCTTTTAAATATTTTATAATAAGTACATTCGAAAAACCTAAGTCCAGAGAATCGAGCGTTTCGTCCCTCTGTGCGTCATCTTAAAATTATAAAATATATAAAAACAAGTTATGATCAAATAGCCTCACACATGAGGCAAAAAATATATAGATATATCTTAAACATATTTACAAATGGTTACAGCTTATTTAAACATAATATGAGATAAAAATATTTCTCTTAGGTTTGCGTGGTTGCCAGATAACGGTCGTGCAAACTACGTGGTTTATCTGGTCTGCCTCTGCAAATTCATTTCAAATTAATTGAATGTAACACCTAGTATCGTTTATTTTCTGTCAATTTAGACTTTTTTAAATGTATGGATATGGATTGCATCATCCTCGTTCTTTTAAATAATATAATACAAAAAGTAAATAGGTGGATAAAAATACTATATACTTATCTATCATTGAGAATATAATTAATTTAAGTATCTTTGAGTTGGTTTATATTGTCCTAGGGAGTGATACTCATGTTCTTGACAGTGATCGTTCTTGGGTACTTGGCGACGCTGTACCTGATGGCGAAGGACCACGTGCTGCCCTGGTACCGCTGGTGGTCCAGGTGCATGATCATCAGCATCATCGTCACACCGACTCCTGGAAGGGAGGATATCCTGGAAGAGGACGAGCATGACCACTGCGAAGAGAGAGTATGACATTGACATCCCGACGTGCGCTTTTAGATTGCTTTCTCCATTGAAGATTCCAATTTCTTATACGACTCAAAATAAAGCATTAATTTTTCTTTTAAAACTGTTGACGTCATTTATAGGTTATCGAAATTTTAATGGCTGAGGTGTATATGTTACTGTAGTTGACAATGTAGCAAGTACATTGAATGCCAAAATTGCTTCTTATCAGTTTTCCATACTTACAATCACTGGATATAGTGACCGCTCAAATTTCTTATTATGAATCGTTACATTGAAGAATTAATGAAGGCCGAACTAAGAAAGAGAGAGGGAACAGGTACAAAGGGGTCAACAGATATATAAGTACACGAGCCTTATAAAGCTTAACAAATGATTATTTTATTTAAGTAAGAAATCTAGATAATTCTTAAACCTCAAAATAAAATTATTTCAATAAAGACACAAAGTGGAATAGCTTAATGAGGCATCGGGCTCCTTTACTCAAGATTTCCGTTTTGAATCCGGTTGTGCCATGTAATTATTAATTCTGTTACACCAGCCGTGGATCGACCTAGGGATCAAGAGAACCTCTTGGGGCAAACCCAACCTCTGTAAAGTGGGAGGGAAAAGCTGGTGGTAGAGAGTGATCCCGATCCAATCATCTCTCTACACAAACCTTAATGAGTACTCAACCAAAGATCCTTCAAAGAGTGGGGAACAGTGGGGAAATTTCTTCATAGTGCAGTAGTAGCCATGGAATTAAAGGACAGCCAACAGCGGATAGACCGATCATTTGGGGAACATCCCTCTACACAGTCGTTTCTTGTACGTTACCTCTATTGTTGTCATTACCACCGCGTATATCATCGCGCCACCTGTTCAAATTATTTCATTCGTTGTTAGTCCCTTGGTACAGACCCCTTTTTATCAAATTATTAACATCCGGCTGAAACTTCGTAAATAGCTTCATCTTATCGTAACCTACAAATATTTTATATACGAAAATTTTCGGAATTGGGGCGTTTTCAATCTGGAGGTTGGCAAACTTTGTCTATTTAATAAGACACTAAAAACTCGTAAATACCCATTGGCTTTCCACTTCAATGGTAAGATAATTTGAGCCACTGGATCTGTACCACGGACTATGAACTAGGGAGGTTATCGACAACTTCAACCTTCGCCGATAAGCCTACTCCGGGCGATACCTCCATCCCACTCAGTTCCTGAAATAGCTGGCTCGATCCCCCAAAGACACCCCCGCCTGATTGGGTATTGATACAACTCTATTGTCGCATTTAAGCCAATGAACCAAAACGTAAGCAAGTCACGTCAACAGTTAAAGCTCATGTTATTGTTTGATACGTAACAATTAAACAGACAGTTTTATGTATGGTTGGTTCCAATGATATGTAGAATAGTTATTTTTTAGCTATTATTAAAGAAAAATATGAATCAGATCAAGTTTTTGCTCTCGTTTTCAACAACAGGATGAACATTGTATTTTAGGATATAATTTTCTTTACGATTATTTTTTCTAATCTTTATTGGTTTGAAAACATTGTTATCTTTATTGATAACATGTTAATATCATTACTAATAATATACATCGCATCAAAATTGTTTCTTTTAAAGTCATTTGTTTCTCTATAAATAATATAAAAAATCTGTTGGAGAGATTTTATGTTTATCATTATTTACATTAAGTAATCTGAAAAATATTTTAATAATCTTTACTCAAGTAAAGAAAAAATAATTAAAATGTATGTATAGAATAGAAACTATATGGATTTTCTAAAAGAAATTTATGTATATCAATATTTATTTATTTATTTTAACATTTTATGAAATTTGCACATTCACTGCAGTGCATCTAGCAAATCTGATGTATGAGCCATTTGTTGCGAATTTGCTTGATTATTATTATTATTTTTTCCTTGTTAATGTAGAAGTAGTCCCCTTGGCCATTTTCTTTTCAGTCTATTAATATCAATATTTATTTTAATAACAATGTAAAATCTTTTTTACTATATTTCAAATAAATTTTTTTAAGGATATATTTTTTAAGATATATATTATTATTACACAAGATTAAATATAATTTCTAAGCGAATGAACAGCAGCTTAGTGAAAGCAGAATAGTCCGTGGTGGTACAGACCCATTTTTATCAAACATTGTAACCTACAAATATTTTATTTGCAAAAATTCTTAGAATTGGTGTTTTCAATTTAGAGGTCGGAAAACTTTTTATATTTAATTAGTTACTAAAAACTCGTAAATACCAATTTGCTTTTTACTTGAATCGTAAGACCATTTGATAACAAAATCTATACAAATAGATGGCCTACAACAATATTGGGCCCTTTGGCCTTTATAACCTCATTATTTTGACAATTTGGTGGTGTAGGTCACCCCAAACGGCTCAATATTTTTGAAGGCCTCCTTTTTTCTCGACTTTGTGCTCAAGTTATCTTACGATTCAAGTGGAAAGCAAATGGTTCCTTACGAGTTTTTAGAATCTAATTAAGCAGACAAAGTTTACCGACCTACATTGAAAATCCCACAATTCTCAGAATTTTCGTAAATAAAATATTTGTATTTTGTGATGAGATGAAGCTATTTACAAAGTTTCTAGCCGGATGTTAATAATTTGATACAAAGGGGTCTGTACCATGGACTATGAACTATAGAGGCTATTTTTTACTTTTTATTATTATTTTTTTTTAATAAAACTTACACTAATCACTGTTATAAATGTCTATTGAGACAGATTGTAATATTTCTCCATAAACAAGTTCTAAATAAATAATAAATCTTACGGTATTACAATATATAGATAATAATACATATGATCAAAATATATTAGTTATTATTAATTATGTGTTGGATTGTTTAACACACCTATGAAATTAAATATTAGTTGAGATCGGACTGAATTCCGTGAATTGAGCAATCCCCAGAGACCTGGATTGATCTGTTTGAGAAGATACAACGTCACGTGGCTACAGAAACCTAAGGCAGTACACGAGTTGTACGAATAATTAAAAGAAAAATACACCAAGCTGGGAAATAGTGCAAAAAATAATAATATTTTTAAAAATAAATAATACTAAATATCTTCGATAACATGCATATCTTATCTATGTATCTTATACATATCTCTACAATACTATCATGCTCCAATCCTCGTCCACAAATTCCTTCAAACTCCTGTTCCACCACCTACTGCATATTCAAACTTCCCCTAACATGTAAAATTACTTGCATTTGAACACTGTTAAATTTCAATCTATTGCACAATTGAAATAACAATTAACAATAAATTAGTTTGTATTTTTATTATTATATCAGACTAAGAACCCATAAATTTGTAACTCTATTATTATTCTTACGGAACAGTAGTCTCAGAATAAAATTATTTTTTTCGTTTCATTTCATTTTCATGTTTTGGAGAAGCTTTTTTCGCTTACTAGCATAATAAACGTACGTAAGTAATTCTTAGCAAAGGGATTATAATATAAAATTAAACTATCATTGTGTACACATATTCATGAAATTATATTTTCACAAATACTTGTAAAAATACTTTTGCAAACAGGGGTGTCCTAACCCTCTTCCAAGATATTTTATTGCTTTCCACTTCTTAAAATCAGTGCATGCGAAAGTAGAATTTTAAAAATCGTATATTATATATGTCTTTCAGTTGACATAATGACTAATTCAAATTTCATCATTTTTCAATATTAATTTTTGAGATATTTCTAGTGGAAAATGTATACCTTTATTCACAGTTCTATATTTCAACATTTCCAGTGGTACCTATTCCTCTCTTCTCGCAAGTTCGTAGAGTGAAAGCAAAAGTATTTTTTTATATTTAAAACACTTTATTCAGAATTATTACAATTTGTCACAGTTTAAGGACACTTATAATAGAGTTCAGAGATTGCATTCATACCGTATATACAAAAATATAAATAAATAAAGTAATAACAAAAGAATAAGAAAAAAGAACAAAAGAGTAAAGAAAAAAAAATATATACACATAAGTAAATAAAAATAGAAATAAAAGTAAAACAAACACCTTATTTAAAACATACCTATAACATTATTTACAATTTGCCAGGCGATCTCCGAACCAATCCTGTCCCCTCCACATGTGGAGGGAAAAGGGAGGCTTAGGAGATCTCTACGCTTTTCCCTCAGCCACTTCACTGGTAGAAAGCAAAAGTAGAATACAAACAAATTTAAAGTCTTGTACAAATACATTAGCTGCGATCTGTCCCACGTTCTTAGTTTGTTCCCAGAATTGAAAAAAAATTGCAATCACAAAAATTCAAATAATAATAATAACCCGAAGGTTCGATGCCGATACCACCAATCGATGTCCACATTCTTCCAACCACCGGGCGCCGTCTAAACCCAACCCCGCCAGATTAGTCGCAATCTTCCCACCTTCGCTTTGGTCTAGCCCCTGGACGGCTGCCAGTCGGCACAGCGCATATTAATTTTTAGGGATTCTTTCGTTACTAAGCCCAGCGATTTTACATGTTCCATTTTATTCGCCTCAACTTGATCTAAATTATGTTAAACGGATACAGTTCACGTAAATCAGCGTTGTGTAACCACTTAAATTCTCCGGTTGACTCATCCTTCTTCGGTCCGAATATTATGCGCAATACTTTATTTTCAAAAACCTTAAGGCGTAGCTCATCTCTTAATGTGAACGGTAAATGTACTAGCTAAGTAGTATAACTTCTGACAAAGAAAAATAACAAGCATTTCCCGCTTTGAACTTAAACTTAATTTAAAAAAAAAATCGAAACAGCTTCAAAATAGGTATCTCTAAAAAATTTAGATCGTTAGATCCGCTGCTGGGCACCTCTGATATGTTACATGTTTCCCCCATATCCCGGATTCGAAACTTTTCATTCCAAAATAATACTTCGAAATGTGCCTCCCTTAAAATTTCAAATTGCGTTAAAAAATGACCTCCCCCACATAAAAATTTTGATGACGTAGCTTTCGCCATGAAACCCCCTTCTGGGTATCCCTGCGGATAACGTCAATCTTATAGTAGAATTTTACTAATCTTTCTTCCAGCTAGTCAGTGAGTCCGTTT